GAGAGAGAGAGAGAGAGAGAGAGAGAGAGAGAGAGAGAGAGAGAGAGAGAGAGATCATTACTGTCAAAAGAAGCGTTCCATAAGAATAAGAAAATGAACGATAATATCGTAACAATAATATTAGTCAGTGTTCATATTAGTGCTACAACAGTGTTATTTGCGAAAGGGACATAGGTTAATAGTACAATTGTACTGTAAATTCGACTATAAAGTTTTTTAGTAATAAAATATATATTATTTTGCAACCAAACATAATATTTTGACTCTACTTGTAATTTGCTAACTAGGCAGTAGGCGTCGGAATTAAATAAAATCAAGTTGCCGCTTCATCAAAAAATGTCTCATTTTGCAACCAAATAATACTTAAAAACATTTCTTTAATATATTGTTGTATGATTACGATTATTAATAGTTATACAAAAAAGAGTGATATTTGCACAAAAATTACCTCTTTAGAAAAAGGTAAAAAAAGAAGTCAAATGCGCTTTGCTTCGTTTGCAAAAAATGTTATAAAAAAAGTTATTGATAAAATTTTTATAAAAAGCAACGATATCAAACAGTTTACGCCTAGTGCAATTAATTTCATACACAATAAATATTGTTATAACTACTTTGTATATACCTAACACTACACTAGGATTTTTTTTTGTAAAGACAAATAATGCTAACGCGCGTGCATTTGGCTTCTTTTTTATACTTTTTTTTTTTAAATATTACTTACACAGCACACTTTTTTTTGATAAGTTTAATTGTGATAGTTTCACGTAAAGACAAGGATATAGTAGGATATTTAGATATCGTGAAATTGCAATAGAATATCTCATAATATCCTATTAGAATATTTCGGATACTATGTATCAGGGTAGTATGTGGGTTGAGTTCTATTGAAAAATATATGGAATGGATATTTATGGGAGATTTATACTTTATTATAGTACTCAAAATATGTAACCTATAACCTTAAAATATGTAAATTCACCTGAGATTAATTAAAATGTTTCATATCATTAATTAAATAAGTTCAGCTATTCATATGCACATACAAGAACTGTAATCATAGTACAACAAAAGTTACAAAAGTAATGCTTACTTTTATAATAAAGCAGGACACTTTTTGATTAATGATCTTTACTTTTGCAAATGTCAATCACTCACCCGAAATATCATTTATGATAATGGCAGAAAAAAATTTGTTATATGATTAATTTAGAATTGCAAAACAATTTTATATTATTTTACTAATCAGAGAGAGAGAGAGAGAGAGAGAGAGAGAGAGAGAGAGAGAGAGAGAGAATGAGAATCTTTAACCTCATATAATTAGATATCTATAATTACTAGAAAACGGATAATCTATAATATACTCCAATTATATAACGTTTCAGCTATCCATATATATAACTGTAATATATATAGTCCTTTAATAACATGTTATATTTATGCGTAATATTTCTATTATACATATAACTGTAATATCTAAATCAATATGAATTGATAGGATAATGATTGATTTATATTCAGACTAAACGTGATGTGATCTTATTATTTTGTATCCACCTTTTTAAACAGGAATTTTTGCTATGCTCTCCAAATTTATTCGTGACATTCTAACAAACGTTCATAATTCTTCGTGTATGTAAATTTGAATCGATTTGTCAACACTTCCCGATACATGTAGATACACTTGTAAACATTTTGTTGGCGTCCTTGGAAAAATAAAGAAAAATAAAGCTGTAGCACGCAAAGCGTATCGAATAAAGCTCAAATATTTCTAGCTGTACATTAGAAGACGAAGAAGAACAAAAAGAAGAGGAAGCAGAAGAAATATTCTCTGAACAGTCGCTGTATCGACGTTTACACTGTGTATACACAATATTTTTTACATTTGCAAGTTGTTGAACGCTAATACCATTACTAAAAAAGTAACATCATAATCGTAACATTCCTAAACGTTAGTCATTTAGATATATCTTTAAATATGTCTATGTTATTATCTTCTCAAACTTATCTGATTCGACCACAATCGCCAAAAGGATATTATAACAGCTTCTTCAATCCCAACGTTTGTCACGTTTGCAAGGCTGCAAACCTAAATCTAATAGAATGTCCTTGGTGCAACATGATCTTTTATTGCAATGAGAGTCACAGGATCTTACATTATGAGGAACACAAGGAGATCTGCCAGGTTATAGTTAATTTAAATGCATATAAAAACACGAGGAACTTTAACAGTATGACGCTGGAGGAATGGACTAATTTTAAAAAAGAGAACTTGCGATACGTCAAGAATACGCTATATCGTAATCTGAAGCCGTACGAGAAGCAAATGTTCTTGTTTGCAAAGTCGTGCATTTATTGTCGCAAACAGAGTAACTTGGTAACTTTTTGCGTAAAATGCCTATCTATCAATATATGTGTTGATCATTATTTACCTATTCATATACACGATTGCGAGGAGCTTTCCCATTGTTTCTCCTTGGATAAATACACTAGCAATAAAGATAACAGAAACAATGCAATTACGGCGAAGTATTTGTTCTTTGACAACAACGTTCATGATATGGTGACATTTATTCTAACTTATATGCGATATGAAAAAGAGAGTTTCATTTGGACTCCTGATTATTACAACTATGCTGACGAATTCTCTAAATCTCTGACATTGATTTATGGAATCCAACGGTCACATCTCTTACGCAACCTACCGATAACCAATGAATTCGTTGTTCATATTATAGCCGGAAGCTTTATGGATATACGCAGCCGGTCGATTTGGGAAATTGTTTTACATGAATTCCAGCGACAAATGAAGATAATAATTATAATTATAAGCCCAGAAGTGAAGAATGAAGATATTATCTGGAAGTGTTGCACACAATGCAAAGAGAAGTCAATGGAACTTTGCTATAAATATCATTGTATGCTGTACCACGATTACGTCGACAGTCCGCGGTATAAGCAACCACACGTGATCATAGGATTTGATATACAACTTAGAAGTGAAGAGATATACGCACAAACTATAAAAGCATTACAGCGACTAAAGCGTTTGGTGATTCTAACGGCAAAATCGGAATGTAAAGCGAACGATAATGTTAAAAAGATACGAGAAATACTGGGTGTTCACGTGAGTCCTTTTATTAATGAACCAAACATGTACGCATCTTTCAGACCGCACAGAGACGAAGAGAATGATTCTGTATATTATTCAAATCACTATATAATTATCTATGAGGACTTATGTAATATAAGCAACGCGGTTCAAGACAGTAGCAGTGTTCATAAATAATTCATTTACCTTCATCATAGTGTCATCGCAAGCAATTCGCAAGATAGATTTTTATGAATTTCTATTGGTTAAACTCTCGAGTCTTTGACATTCTCCTTGAAAAGATTTGATCAAATATATAAATACATACTGTTCGATTGTACTAATTTCGATATAAAAGATTTGATAGAATTAAGTATCTATGCAATTAAATCATTTCTGTTGGAAAAGGCGATAAAATCGCATAGAAAAGCATGTATTCGATTAAGTATTTAATGATTTAATGTGATATTTAATTTTGTTAAAAGTATGTTATACGATAACGGAAGAAGTTTACAACTTTTCTGAATAAACTTAAACGTAGGAATTTAAAATTTTCTATAGAAATGATAAATTTAGATTAAAAAAAGTCATATAGCTTTTTGATAAAATTTGTATATGTTTCCATCAATTCTTACCGGATATTTTAAGCAGGCAAAGAATATTGATGTTATATTTTGAGATGGGACGATTGATTCTACAATGGCATGCACAGAGATATAGTTTATTAAGTTGCAAAATTGCGCATAGGACAATATAATAACAATCTAATGCAACATTATATTATTATTATAACAATATATTTTCTAATATATAGTTAAAATTTTATTTTAACTATAAGAAAATTTTGGGAAATTATTCTTTTTAGAGCAGTTATGTAGAGATTTTTTATTTGATTAGATTCTTTGGTTTATTAGTTGTTTAATTGTATACGAAAGTTCGGGTATATATTGATGTGTTATGTAATTATATAAGTATATATTAAAATATTCATGACGGATTGTCTCATCATTGGCAACATTATTATATGCGGCATAAATCGAGAAATTATGTATTTTAATAAAAGCATGCAATCCAATAAGTTAATTATGTTATTTTTCTGAATTATGTTATTTCTCTGGATATTCTGAAATTGAATCATCAATGTCATATGTGTATTCATGGTTGAATGAATATTATGCATTTTACATATAATATCACTGCAATTTCTTGTGAGGCGAGACGTGTAGTCGAAATCATTTAGTAGGAATGAAATGTGTGTCATCATCATTTACACATTACGACATCTTAAAAACGTCTGAAAGATGCTTTAAAACGTTGCCGGAAAGACGTCTTAAGTCTTGATTTAAAACGTCTTAAAAACATTTTCTTTGAGATTTGTTTTAAGACTTTAACTCTCTACTGCTGTAATTCTGAAGTCACAATCTAGTAAATTTAATAAAAAATGCAATGTCTCATGCACTCTCAACGAATCTTGACGCTTCAAGATCATACGCGATATTCCAGCTTATAATAAATGTCCGTAGTTCGTTGTACATGCAAATTCAAATCTGATTGTCAACAATTCACGGCACACATACGGGAATACATGGAAACGTTATCTTAGTGTTCGCCGAGCAATCACCGAATCTACATTGATGACGAATATATACAATTTTCTTATACGTATAACGTGTATATTACACATTATTTTGAAGTTAATACCATAAAAAAGCATTTCTGAAGATCTACTACGTAGAAATACATACATGACTCAGTTAATATCGTTAAAGACTCCACTGTTTTACCCAAAACCACCATTTGAAGATTACAATAGCTTTTTCCATCTCCATGCTAGACTACAAGGAGGTTGATGGAATGTCCTTCGTGTCGTATGATCTCATATCGCAGCGAGGAGCACAGGATGCTGTATCGTGCGCAAACTGAGAAATTTACTAAATTTCAAAAAATGTTTGTCTGGATTATACTGTGAAGATATTTGTTTAAATTAAGTAATTATTTTCTAAAATTAAAGAAACAAATTTATATTTAAAACTTCTTTATTTAATTTTAGAAAATAATTACTTAGTTTAAACAAATATCTTCACAGTACTATCTAAACAAACGTTTCTCAAAATTTAGTAAATTTTTTTCTCAGTGCAACATAACGAGATATGCCACGCAATGCTGACATGCAGCTCATATAGCACAAATCTCTAAAAGACTTTTAAAAGACTTCTTAAAGAGTTCCAAAAGAGTTCCCAAGTCCTCCAGAACAATTTTAGAATTCCTTAAGAAGTCTTTTAGAGATTTGGGCTATATGGGAGTGCGCATTGGAACATACACAACTCTCACGGTAAGACATCTGAAGAATGGACCAAATTTAAACTAAAAACTATCGAGAGATTCTTAACCTGAGAATTTGTTCTTTTACAATATTCAAGTAATTTTATATAACCTCAGTAAAAATTATTAAATCTGAGATTGTTAAACCATTGTATAACAATATTGTAACAATATTAATTCCTCATCACATCAGTAACACATAATATTATAAACTAATAAATATATAAAAAGTACATAAATATATAAATATAAAAAAAAAGTCACATATATAAAAAGTCACATAATATTATAAACTAATAAATATATAAAAAGTAAGTCGTTTTCATAGATCTATTGCGAGTTTCCTTAGAAAGAATACTTTCTTTTTTAATTGGCTAACGTTATTTTTAATATTATATTTTCAATTTGTTAGTTTCGGTTAGTAATATTATCTGTTCAATTATATTATAGTATATCAATATATATAGCATAGCATATTATAATATATAAGTAATTATGTATAGATATCCTGTACAATAGAAATACACCTCGCGTAATAGTTGCATAACTGTGACACTCTTACGATTTCTCGTTGAACAATATGACATACAATGTGAATCATTTAAAGTATAAGGTATGAGGTAGATGTTTTAGATCTCTTCTATCTGTAGGCAAAACAATTCTGACGAATAGATTTTTCTTTCCATAATTTTACAAATTAAAGATGCGTTTAGGCGGTTCTACCGTAGAACGTGTGGATTCCGTGTATCACACATATTTCACTAAGGAACAATTGACAATACTTTCTAAATGTATGCTTTAATATAAATAAACTATTATATGCCTTCTTGAAATATACTTCAAACGCATTTACGAAATTCTACTCGACCAGAAATATCCGTTATATTTGCAAAGTCAAATCAGGTTGTTAATATTTTCTGACGCACGCAGAAACATTTATAAATCTTTCATTATTCTGGCACAAAAAAAAGTGCAGAAAGAAGTGAGAAAAACAGTGAATAGAAGTAAACCTTTCCCACTTCATTTCAAAAGAATTTGATACTCTTATATTACTCATTTTGGACTTTTCTCTATTTTAATATATTCTCCCCGTACTTTTCGCCACTCTCTTTCTTTCTTTTAAGATTATAACGTTCGTGAAACTTTGTTTCATCCACACAGAACATATTTTCTATACTCCTCGCCACTTTTTGACATATTGACTATAAAATCCTAGTAATTTTACTATAATATTTTCCTCACGTTATCATTATAATACAAACCCAAAATTATGTATCAAAGATCCAATTTAAAACACTATGTTGGAAGTAATGATTACATTGCAGATTAAAATCAGAGAAAATTATTGGTTATTGTCTTACATTTTATCTATGTTATAAAATGTTTATATGATTAAATGTTATTATAAGATATAATGTAGATTATATATATATATATATTGCAACATGCTTGTTCAAATTATTCTATTTCTGCCAATAAACTTGCGTAATACGTTATATTTCTGAATACAAATATGATTGACCTTACGATACATGTAGAAATGCTTGTAAATATATTATTAATGTTCTTCAAACAGTCGCAGGATTAATATATATACTCAAGCCACAATTTATTTACATTCTTACGGTGTCAAGCAAGAATATTACAAGTTTCATTTATATAACATTATTTTATAATTAACATTATAAAATATCATTCTCTGTAAAGCGAAATAAGTTATATCGTTCTAAGCGTGATGTTGAATCTTGGACCATCCAGTATACGAGGCCCAATCGTAAATTATAATAATTTTTTCAGTCCGTACGTCTGTCATGTCTGCAAAACTTTTGAGAACCTGCAAGTATGTCATTGGTGCCGTTTGATCTCTTACTGTTGTAAAGAGCACTTGGAATTGCATCGAGAGCAACACAAAGAGTTTTGTCTGGCTGTATTAAGCTTGAGTGACGAAATATACTACTCCCATGATATAACTCTTAAAGAATGGACTCAATTAAAGAAGGCTAATGTGAAAAAAGTTAAGCATAAATTGGGTCGCAATCTAGAACCATATGAAGAGCAAATATTGCTATTTGCAAAATCGTGTCTCATATGCCGCCGCCAGAATAACCTGAGTGTCGCTTGCGAGTTTTGCATGTCGGTCAGCATGTGTTATAGGCACATATCGACTCCTTATGAGCACAACTGCTTCAACTTATGGCTTTGTATACAACTGGATATCATCAATACCACAGAATGTGAACCGAATATACGAAAACGGAAAGAACTTCTAAGGTATGAAAATTTTAGCGACATGAAAGCTTTTATTCAACAAACTTCAGAACATAGTGGAATTTTCTACACTTGGCGCTATTCTAATTATATGTATTCTCATTACTTCTCAAGACCATTGACGTTGTTATTTAACATGCCGAGAGTAGGTATACCCGAACTGAGATCTTCTGCAACCTTTACAATTCACGTTATAGCCGGAAGCTTCACGGATCAAAATAGTCTATTGGCTTGGGAAGTCTTTACACATCGAATGTGCCTGGATTCATCGTTATTGATTATAATGATAGAGTCTAAATTAGAAAATCATACTTATGATGTAGAGCTTTGTCAAACTTGCTTCAGCCAAAACAAAAATATTTCCATCTCTTATTATCCTATGACATACAGACATTACATACGCTCTGAGGTATATTTAGAACCAGATATAGTTATTGGATTTAACGTAGATTTTGAGGATGATGAAACGGCTATCAGAACAGCATTAATATATCAGAACAAACCGCTAATTTTGACCTGCAAATCAGAAAGTAAGGCGCAAGAGACTGTCACGAAAATAAAGGCAACATTGCGCAAAGAGCCTGTCATTAATGAGGAGAATAAATTCGCATCTTGTAGACCATATAGAGATGCTGAAAGTGATTTTGTGTTCTTTTTTCACCAGTATTTAATTATCTATTGTAAAAAAACTTGCAGAAAGAGGACCTTAGATATTTCAAGTAATCACAACGAACTCAGCATCAGCGACAGTTCATGTGAAGAATAATTGTATTGTCATATTGGTCGTATTGTTATAAACCATATAAGGTAGAATCCTTTTATAAATTTATTCTTTTGTTCCTAATTCTTTTATATTTTCTTTTCTAAGCATACTTTGCACACACACACACACATATAGAGATCATAATTACATTATATTCCTTTTAATAGATTTCCTTAAAAAGATGCTGGGCGGGTCTATTAATACACTAAAGTTATTGAATATATTTTCAAAAGCACTTAATAATACGGACTGACACCCACTTAAATTTACACACACATGTACACATGCGCATGTTTGCGCATACATGTTTGCGAGAGGATAAAGAGCTGATAGAATGTTCATTGTGTTACATAATTGTTTTTTTATTACAAAGACGATCGAGAATACTGCATCGAACGAAACACACAAACATATCCGTCAATATATAATGTAGCTGAGTGAATACTGCAACATGTAAGGTTCTCGTGATATAATGCAAAATGAACTAACTTTAAACATGAGGAAGTCAAAGTTATACGTTACAAGTTATTTATGAGCTATGAGTTATTTATGTTTAATGATCCGGGAGTGTACTAAATCAAATGTCCTTATTTGCAAAATCGTGTATTATTTATCGTTGATAAGATCATCTGACTGCATGAGTTAGGCATCGGAAATCTCTCTATTACACCTATTCCAATAAGGATAATTTAGTAATATACTAGATTATAAATTGATGTAGAGATAAGATGTTATATGTATATATATATATATATATATATATATATATATATATATATATATGTATGTATATGTGTATATACATATAATTTTCGTCGTATATAATTGTAAATTATATAGCATATTATATTTAATTGTAAAACTATCCGTTATATGCTAGAATATTTGTGAATATTTTATTAGTATCTCACGAAAATCGCTAAAACGACATCCGTACTGAATGCCAATTGTAATACATGTCAATATAAACACAGATGTTTCGAATGTTTATCTCTTCCGCGCGCTATTCTAGATTAACATTACAAAATATCTCTCGTTTCCAAACGTTAGTAATGCGGACAATTTTTAGATATTATGTCGATATTTGGACTGTCTACAGAACAATTTTTGTCTGTGCAATATAATAAATTTTCCTATCCCAACGTTGGCCACATATGCATATCTTTGCAAACTTTCATGAAGTATTTTCGGTGTTGTACGATTGCATATTACACCAAAAAGTATAAATTAATGCGAGCGGGACATATCGAAGTTTGTATAACAAGGTTATAATAATGTTAAATACGTAGTGGAACGTATAAAACTCGCGTAATATGACGTTGAAAAGGTTGACTATATACAAAAAGATGTGCTTCTATTATAAAAAAAAAAATTCCAATTCGATCTGCAATCGTACGAAAAGCAAATGTCTTTATTTGCAAAATTATGCCATATTTGCCATCAACAGAATAAATTGAGAATATTGCATATCTATCAGTATATATTCAATGCACCTTTTAATTGATTACGAACATTGTTCCTTTCCTTTTCGGCTTTGCTTGGACTTAAACGTCTACAATACTTTCACATATGAAAACAATAGAAACATTCCCGAAAATCTTCTGAGTATAAGAACTGAGTATAAGTCGCGAAATGTATATGATATGCAATATTTTAACCAGAGGTTTGCAACGTGATAGAAACGTATTTTTTTGGTTATGCGATTTTTATGAATATTTTAAATACTTTTCTGTACTGTCGACATTATTTAATGGGTTTTTATAAATCAATTTATTACATGTCCTGCTGCCTCTACGTAACTTTTTACCGTTTGTCTTATATTTTACGCAAGTTTTATACAGGCGTATAGTTTAGCAGCTTACGAAATCATTTTGTATGAATTTCATGCAAATACAAAGCTGCTAATTGTAATAATAGGTCGAATTATTGTAGGAATTATCGGGAAATTATCATGTAATGCAGATTTGTGTGAGGTGCATTTGCGGTAAAATAGAACTTCAGTATATCATCGGATGTTGTATCACAATTTTGAAACTTCATTGAATATGTAGTTAAATGTGATTATTATATTTAACGCAAAATTTAGGAATGATATAATATTAACACTAACTTTAAGAACGATACAGAGTAAAGGTTATCCGTTAATTATAATGTCTACATCGCAAAGTCAAGCGAGTGAGGATATAATAACGATGCAAGAAGTACTGTGCTTATAAATATTACTCTTTGTTAACAAAAGCAATAAATTCCCATTTTTCAAACCATGCAGAGTCCATGAGGAAGTTTGTATAGTTTTTTATAATTAACATTTAATTATCTATCATAACGTAAAATTTCTGAATGATGTTTTTATCGTGATGCTTTTCATCGCTCTCTTCTATCTGTAGGGAAAGCAATTCTGATGAATAAGCTTTTACTCCATAATTTTATAAATCAAAGATGCGCTTAGGCGGTTTTACTGTAGAAACCGTAGAACGTGTGGATTCCGTGTATCGCACGTATTTCACTAATTGTAAGTATCACTTGACAATACTTTCTACACGCATGCTTTAATACAAATAAACTGTCATATGCCTCCTTGATATGTAAAAACGTATTTACGAAATTCTATTCGAAATATCCGTTATATTGCAAAGTCAAATCAAATAATACTTCTTGACACTCGCAAAAACACTTGTAAATTTTTCATTATTCTAGCGTAAATAAACAGTGCATAAAGAATTGAAAAAGACAATCAATAGAAATAAATCTTTATCACTTCATTTCAAAAGGATTTGATACTCTTGTATTACTTTTTTTGTATTCTTTCATCTTTTTATATATTTTTCCCGTACTTTTCGTTACTCTTTCTCTTTCTTTTAAGATTATAGCGTACGTGAATTTTCGTTTCATCCACAAAGGAAATATTTTCTATACTTTCGGCCTTTTTTTGCATAAAATATAAAATTCTATAGTAATTCTTACTATTATATTTTTCTCTTGTTAGCATTATAATACAAGAACCAAAGACACTAAAAACTCTGGTTAGAAGTATTGATTGCATTGCAGATTGAAGTTAAAGAGAATTATTGATTATCGTCCTACATTTCATCTCTGTTATAAAATACTTATGTGACAAGATATTATAAGATATAATGTAAATTTATATATATACATGTATATAAATATATATATATATATATATATATATATATGTTTATATATATAATAAATACATATGTACATATATATAATAAATTTATAAACATTATATTCTAATAAATAAATAAATATATATATGTACATGTATATAATAAATTTGTTTATATTATAATATATATATGTTTATTGCAACTATGCTTGTTCAAAATATTCTATTTCTACCAATAAATTCGCGTAACGCGTTATATTTCTGAATATAAATATGATTGACCTTACGATATACGCAGAAACAGTTCTAAGGATATTATTAGTGTTTTTCAAACAGTCGCAGTATTAATATATACTCGAGCCACAACTCATTTACATTCGTACGATGTGAACCAAGAATATTACAAGTTTTATTTATATAACATCATTTTATAATTAACATTATAAAATATAACTCTCTGTACCTTAGTTATATCGTTCTAAACATGATCCCCGAGGCGTTTCCCGAATCATCTATAATACGAAACCCAATCGTAAATTATAATAATTTTTTCAATCCGTACGTCTGTCATGTTTGCAAAAGCTCAAAGAACCTGCAAGAATGTCATTGGTGCCAATTGATCTCATACTGTTGTAAGGAGCACTTGGAATTGCATCAAGAGCAACACAAAGAGTTTTGTTTGGCTGTAATAAGCTTGCGTGACGAACTATATTATTCCCATGATATAACTCTTAAGGAATGGACTCAATTAAAGAAGGCTAATGTGAGAAGAGTTAAGTATAGATTGGGTCGCAATCTAGAGCCATATGAAGAGCAAATATTGCTATTTGCAAAATCGTGTCTCATATGCCGCCGCCAGAATAACCTGAGCATAGTTTGTAAAGTATGTATGTCGGTCAGCATGTGTTATAGGCACATATCGACTCCTTATGTGCACAGCTGCATGGACCTACGGCTTTGTGCAGCACTGGATATCAACAGCATCTTAATAAATGAAGAGTATATACCAAAGCCAGTAGAACTTCTAAATTATTCATATCCAGACGACATGAAAGAATATATTCAACAGAGTTTAGGACGTAGTAGAGATTTTAATACTTGGAGCTATGCTGATTTTTTATATACTAATTACTTCTCAAGACCATTGACGTTGTTATTTAACATAACGACGAAAGCAAATATGTACAAACTGACACCTTCTACAACCTTTACAATTCACGTTATAGCCGGAATCTTCACGGATGAAAATAGTCTATTGGCTTGGGAATTCTTTATACATGAAATGTATCCGGATACATCGTTAGCAATTCTAATTATAGGACCTAAAGTAAAAGAACATATTTATAATATAGAGCTTTGTGATACTTGCCTCTCTGAAAACAAAAAACTTTACTTTGTTTATATTCCTGCGACGTATAAACATTATATATGCGATGAGACATATAAAAACTTGGAACCAAATATAATTATGGGATTTGACATAGATTTTGAGAATGATAAAGCGGCTATCAGAACAGCAATGTGTCTGAGCACACCGTTACTTTTGACCTGCAGATCAGAAAGTAAGGCGCAAGAGACTGTCACGAAAATAAAGGCAAAATTGCGCAAAGAGCCTATCATTCATGAGAGGAATAAATTCTCATCTTGTAGACCATATAGAGATGCTGAAAGTGATTCTGTGTTCTTTCCTCATCACTATGTAATTATTTATGGTAATGAACCTAACAGAAATAAGAAATTAGATGTTTCTAGTCTAATGACAATCAATCCAGTACTAGTAACCAGTGCTAGTACCAGTAACTTATTTAAAGGATAATTATATCGTTACACTGGTCATATCATGATGCACCATATACAAGGTAGAAGTCTTTTATAAATTTATTTTTGTTCTTGATTCTTTTATATTTTCTTTTCTAAGCATACTGTGCACACGTAAATATCGTAATTATATTTCTTTTAATGCTTTCCTTAAAAAAATGTTGGGCGCGTCTTTAATGTCTATTATGTAGTATACTGAATATAATGAATATACTTTCAAAAGTACTTAATAATACGGACTGACATCCACATATACTTACATACAGCTATACATGTGCATGTCGATATGTGTGCGAGAAGATAAAGAGCTGATAGAATTTTCATTGTGTTACATAATTGTTTTTTTATTACAGAGAGGATGACATCGAGAATACTGCATCGAACGAAACGCACAAACATATTGGTCAATATATAATGTAGCTGAGTGAATACTGCAACATGTAAAGTTCTC